AGACGCATTGTCGCATGACAGAGCAATAATATTCGAAAATGGTACCTGAAATTTGTACATTTCGTTTTTAAATGCATTAAACAATTTATCTGCGCTGGAATCTTTAGCATCGATATTAATTAATTCAACTAACTGCGTGCGAATTTCTAATGTTCCAGGATCAGGATATCGCACTTGAAAAGTCATCCATTTTTCGTTACAAATATCTGATGTTTCATCTATAAATATTGAAAATTTAGTGTTGCGAATGTTGTCTACAACACGTTCCGTTTCAACTTTGGCTAAAACGTTTGTAATAATACTTTTACATTTTGTACGACCCATTTTCATACTTCGCAATATATGAGGATCTTTCCCCACGTGTTGAAAAAAGCTAAGAATCTTGTTTGCACTTTGATAAGGAATATTTATTTCAGCAATTAATGCGGCATATCTGATTTCCGCTTCTTTTGTACGTTCATCAAACGATAAAAGCGATTCATCATTACTTTCAGTATTCAAATCTTCATTCAATTGTCTTATTTCACTACTTTCATATTTATTTATATGTGCTTTTGTTTCGGCATGACGATAGATTTGCGATAATCCACAAGCAAAGGATTTATCGCAAATTATACAATAACATAAACTGTCATCACCTGGCACTTTGCGCAACCAATGTTTAAATTCCTCAATATATAACCATTTTGATTGAAATACTAATTTAGATTTTTTTACAGAATTATCTTCATTATTATCACACGATTTTTTAATATTATTTTTATGATACGTAGAGTCCACATGTTTCGAAATATTTCTTGATAGACATGAAAATGTTTTATTGCATATACTGCAATAATAAACACTATTATCGGATGGTACTCTACGTATCCAAGATTTGTATCGATCATCAGTAAGCCAAGCTTCTACAAAGCTTCGCTTACATTTTTTGGATGGTTCGTCACCCATTATACACTATATCAATTAAAAAGAAATAGAAAAATAAACAAAAATTGCGTGTGTGTAAATAACTCTCTATGTGTGTATGTGTTGTGTGTTTTGTGTGTGTGTGTGTGTGT